GTGCCCAAATCACCAGGCTGTTAGGTATTCAGAGATAAATCTCTCAATCTCTCTTGTTGAAGCTTTTCCACTTTATATAATTATTTAAATATCCCCAGTAGTTAGGGGAACTCATCTGGGATGTGGGAAAGGCAAGTTCAAGTCATTAGTAATAGCTAATTATTTATACCAAGTGGAACAGCTTAAAGGGGAGAGATTGAGAAACTCACCCTAAAATATTCACTAGAATGGTTGTTAGGACACACACTTGGGATCTGGGTTCAAATTCCTGCTCCAAATCAGGCAGGGTGGGAGTTCAGATCTAGGTTCCCACATCCCAGGGTTGTGCTCTAACCACTGAGCTGTTGGGTATAATGGGAAATACACAGCCAGCCCCACAAAGTCTCATACCCAGCTGTCTTTTGTGAGGGTTAAGTGATGCTCAGAGCAGTCCTGCCAGACTAGGCCCTGCATGTGAAACAGGCAGGGGAATACCTAGTTTGAGAATCCTGCCTTCGCTTAGGAATGAGCTAGGCACCGAATGACTCAGCAGTGTCTGAATTTAAGTGGTTTTGCACATGCCCATTTGCAGAAACTTAGGTGCCTAGGGGACTTTAGTGGCAGAAATTTAGGCACCCACAGGCTAGGCAGCAAGACAGTGAAGGTTTTGTGAATACCAGTGGCACCTAAATGTTGACATTAGATGTCTAAAGAGGCATTTAGGCACCTAAATCCCTTTGTGGATCTAGCTCAAAGTGCTGTGCTGACTGGCAATGCAAAAGCTTGATGGAGCTGAGAACCAGATGCAAATTTCTTTACAAGCTATGAGCTAGATTCATTTCTGGTTTATGCTGGCTTCTTAGTCAGCGTAATCCCGCTTCTGTCTCTGCCACCAGGGATGCTATGGAGGCTCTGAGAGAAACTTCAGTTGCCCTATCCCTGTATAGCTTCCCCAATGAGGGCAGTTGTGGAAACACCTCCTGCCCTGATTTAGGGATGCATCCTCCTTGGCTTGTAAGCGACTGCTGGTTCAGGAAAGTGGAATTTGCGCCATCCTGTACAAGCCAGGCTGAATCTATCTGTAGACTCTTACTTAATGGGACTAGTCATGTGCTTAAAGTTAGGCACATGCTTAAATACCATGCTGAATCATGGTCTTAATGCGTCAGTGAACCACTATATGGAGTCATAAAGGTCTTTTTTGACTGATAATGGAGCATAGGAAAGGTTACTTCTAAGCACCAATAGTTAAACCATCATACCAAATACTCATTGAAAACCTACTACTGAATAATTTTAATACTTCTTTAGCATCTTTATCCAAGGATCTCCAAGCACTTTATAAACATTAATTAAATAAAGGGACAATGAAATGTTAAAAATTATATAGTAAGTATATTTTTGAAAAATCCTTATGAATTACTGATAAAAAAGCTTGAATACCAGAAGTGAAATAATGTAAACATATAATTTACTTTTCCCTATTTTTGCTTTTAGTTTACTTGTTAGCATTTCACTCAGTTTAAACAATGAAATTTTTAAATCTATAAATCATTTATATTAATATTGAACTATGATAAACCTTTTTTAAGAATAAAACCTATATTTGGAGTCTATACTACCTGACAGTATCTCTTTAATGCTTACAAAACGGCTGATAGATGCCTGTTGTTACAATCATTTGATACCAGAATAAACTGAGGCCTGTAGAGATTGTGGGTGAAATCCTGACCTGTTGACGTCAATGAGCATTTTGTCATGACTTCAGCAGGGCTAGGGTTTTACCCTGTGGACTTCTCCAAGGTAACAGACTAAATTGATGTCTCAGCCAGGATTAGAACCCAGGACTGTTTCCTCAACCCTATACTCTAACCATCAGCCCTAACATCCTCTTCTTGCTGTATTAAAATCTGAGTTTTCACCTCTTATCATCAAGAGTCCTGTCTGGCATAGTGCTCTCAGTTTGCTGCATTTCACAAGGGATATTCAAGAAAGTCTATTTCTGAACCTCATTCTCTTCAAAGCTTTAATTTTTATCTTTTATTTGGAATATTAAAAAACTGGGTTGTTTTCTTCCTCTTCATTTGAAAATTTATTGTTTTCATTTAAATAATGATGTTCCTCTTTTATGTAAGGGTTCTCTTCTTGGCTGGCGCATAAACTCAGATATCCACATAAAAGACTGTCTTCTCTGTTTATGTGATTGATTGTAATGCAGAGTGTGATGGCAACATGGTTAAAAATAGAAAGGCAATCAGTGTGACTGGGCATGAAATACATTCATATACAAGTGGAACTTCTCCCCAATGAATGCTGAAGAGCTCTTTCTCCGGACCCAGAGGATTTACATCACATTAGTTAGTCACTGGTATGGAAATCTTCTTCTGCAGCTTGGGAATTTGAAGAATTATAAATAGAATGAACACTAACCGCAAACTGAGTCAGCACAATATATGAGTTACTTTACTTCCAAATCATAACTACATGAGATTCATGGTCTGAGCACACATAGATATGTTCCTAGTACACCAATGTCATCTTATCATACATTAATTTGTAAGTTGACAGTTCTGTATCAAAACCGTATCTCTCTAAAGAAATAAATCAGTTTTGCTTTCCTATGGATGAGTCATATAGTGACTGATTAAATTTAACTTTGATTTTACATTTTAAGTTTTCCTCAAAGATTTCTAGTTTTGTATGAGGGTGCTATATAGTTCCTCTGAAAGCAGCACAAACTGTAGACCACATAGAAGGCAGCGTTCTCTCAGGAACTATTTAGCATCATGGGAAAAGGCATGACAAAGGTTGGTTAGAGTCATTGCAAATCCAACCAGTCCTGAGTTTATTAAACATTTTGTACCACTCTTTGAGCAGGCTAAATATAATAAGTAATTGAAACCCCCATTGATCTATCTCAGGCATTTCTAATGTGCTCATCACTGTAGAAGCAAATGGAACAACAGGAAACAAATGCGTTCACAGTGCAAGTGAGAAGAGAGCTGAAATTAGAAATCCAGGTCCCACTGAAGTCAATGACAAAACTCTACTGACTTCAGTGTAGCCCGGATTTCATCCCTTCTTTTCTTCCTCCATTTCTAACTCTGTGTGCGTGCGCGTGCATGTGCACACACACACGGGAAAGAAAGCATGGGAGAGATAGGGTGTGCGTGTGAGAAAGAGAGAGAGAAAAAACTTCCAACCCCTCTATGTGTTAAGACATTGATGAGCCAACATGCATGGCCAGACAATGAAACAAACAAATTCTACCCTAAATTTACCTGCCAGGTGGCTGCACTAATCCTTAGCAGTCTGTTTGATAAAGGCTTACTTAGAAGAGCAGATAAATGGGTACATGAAACATTTTTTCACATTAGAGATGCCAAAAATTAATAAACACCACAAAACCTTGTCTGTAGCATTCAAATTCAAATACTGTGTCCATTTAGTAAAGGAAAAAGGTGGAAGAACTTGTCCAGAATACATTAAATATAATTTGTAGGATTCCTGAATTTGATCTTACTTCTTCCTTTTCAGACTGAGTTTATATTTTCATGTATAACTTTTCTCAGAATACAGCAATAAATGCAGTTGTTTTGGTGCAGTTATTCAGAAAAGGTTTCAGGCTCAGACCTGCTGAAGGTTTCGGGCTCAGAACTGCTCACTAAGAAACGTTCTCCCAATGGGCTTTGATATAAATTATATGCCTATAAGAAATCAAAAGGCCACAGCAGAGGTTTCTTCCTATGTCTACCATCAGACCAAAGTCTAAACCCAGAAGGGGATTCCCCACTATATTGTTACCAGTTTTCACCTACAGTTGGAATGTAGTAGAACAAAGCTTTCCTTGGCCTCTGGATAATTTTAATGATAAAACTGCATATTAATAACTCACATTTCTGCTGTTTGTTAACTGCTATAGAAAACTTTGTCTATCCTCATGTTGAGATACTTTTCTCTGTAGCACAGCTGGGATGAGAGAGAAATAGCAGGGATTTCGCTGAGGACTGGAAACAAAAATAAACTCAGTGGCTGACTAGTGAAATTTCTTTCTTTTTCTTCTTTAACATAACCACCAAAATGCCACTCTTATTATAAAAACAACAAGGAGTCTGGTGGCACCTTAAAGACTAACAGATTTATTTGGGCATAAGCTTTCGTGAGTAAAAACCTCACTTCTTCGGATGTATATACAGCCGAAGAAGTGAGGTTTTTACTCACGAAAGCTTATGCCCAAATAAATCTGTTAGTCTTTAAGGTGCCACCAGACTCCTTGTTGTTTTTGTAGATACAGACTAACACGGCTACCCCCTGATACTTGACTCTTATTATAAATAGCTTTGACAGTGTGGTAGGTCTGTACTCCATTGAATTAAAGACAGGGAGAAGTACATGGGGAATCATATCTGTTTAGAGGCAATTTCAAAAGAACTTAAGGGTTTTAGGAGTACAGGTCTCACTGACTTTTAATGGGCATTATGCTGCTGAGACTATCAAGCACTTTTGAACATCTCCCCCCAATATATGAGGTACATATATACCATTCAAGCAGAATAATAACCACAGAAAATTAAAAAACAAAGCGATTCAGTGATTTTGCTTAGAAGAAAAAAAGTAAATAAAAATAAAGTGTTCCCTCTTACTTTCTCTGCTGTGTCCTACCGTTGGCTCAGGGCTAGGGTAGGGGATGGCTAAGGGGGCTTTCTAGAGTGGCACTATTTCTGGGAAGAGCATATTTTAATCTCCTCCTCCCCCTCTGGTCTGCTCAGAGTTTAGGTCCTATCTTAGGTATGAAGTGGTAACAGTAGTGGGAGCAGCAGCTTTGCAACTGCCTCAGACTTCTTCCCATCCACCATCTTAGGGTTGGGGCCACTTGAGGGTGCTGAGGAGCTGTAATTAAATTGCTCTCTCTTCTCTGATCATCTGGGGGCTGAGGGAGGGGTACTTGAATGAGTGGAAGCACTGTTTGGTGAAACGGCTTTTTAATTTTAAATTTTCCATTTTCTTCTCTTAATTCCCAGCCTCGGAGCCCAACTTGAAGGTGCGTTCCAGGTTAAAACAGAAGGTGACAGAAAGGAGAAGCAGCCCCTTACTCAGGCGGAAGGATGGAAATGTTGTCAGTTCATTCAAAAAGAGACTGTTTGAAGTGACAGGTAATTAAGGACTGAAGAGATTCTGCTGAAACTACTATGCTAGTAGACTGCTTAGAAGACCTGAAATATAGTTTACTGGAAACATAATTGTGTATTGAACATAGGTGTGGAGAGAGATTTCTCTGTCAGAAAAGCAGCAATACTTAAGGTACAATTGCATACAATAATTTGCTTTATTCACTTGTGAGAAGGGCACTGTCAACTTAAAAATCACACTTCCATCAGCACACTTTTTCTTACATATAATAGTAAGTACAAAAACAAGGAACCGCTAGAATTGTTGGGATAAAAAGAGATAAGAAGGGAAAAGATTCTCTATTGTTCCTGTTTATTTCCAGTGTGGGTTGGTAGCACTTTGTGTGTAGTCAGTGTCACTGGTTCATTGCTGGTCTCTTGCATCGCTCTCCTGTACTGCTCTGTGGCGAGTGTACAAGCTCTTCCTCAGGCTCTGTAAGAGGGTGTTTAGTAGTAGTAGCAGCAGCAAAGCTGAAATGTAAACTGAAAAGGCATCTGTATGTACAGAGTGGAAGAGGAAGGAGGGAGGCAGGAGCAGTCCAAGCCCCTCCCAAAAGACAGCAAGGGAACAGAAAAACCCATATAATGCTTTAAAGGGATTAAAAAAACCTATTTAAATACTAATATATACTATGTAAAGGTTGCACTATCAGAAAAATAGATTTAAAATACTTAATATAAACAAAATTCCTGTCCCTTTAATTGGAACAAGAAATGAATTAATAGCTCTCATCATACTCCCAGCAAAAAAGGAATGCTAAACCCAGATTAATCTCTTAGGAAAAGCAAACCTTTAGGAATGTAGAGAATGAACAGTACACAGATTTTAACAAATCTAAGCAATGGTTTAACAAGCTTGCGAACAGCTCTGAAGCCAATACAATTTAAGGTCCTGATTCGGCAAAGTACTTAAGCACATGCTTAATTGCTATTAACTTCAATGGTACTCAGGCACATACCTAAATAATGTCTTGAATAAGTATGTTCTCTCAAACTAAAACAGGATAGAGCATTATTTGCAACACTCTGTGTGTGTGTGTGTGTGTGTGTGTGTGTTCGCTTGTTCTTTGGCTCTTCTAACCAAGAGGAGCGGAGCAGGATAACAGTATTCTAATTAATGCATGGGTAATAGAGACAGATTTAACTTACTGGTATCTATAGTTGCTTGACTAAAGACTATGCAAAGCATACTCAAGTCTTGAGCACACATGGTCAATCATCCATTAAGTCAAGAGGAGGGCTGGTCCCCTGTTGCAACCTGAAGTAACCAGCTGCAGCTCTCCCCATTGTCAAATGCCAGCTGCATGGACTCAGCGCTAGAATGATGAAGTATCTGGCAGCTGACAGTGCTGAAGGGGATGCTCTACTGGACTCTTGGCTCTCAGCAGCAGCCCCTAGTGGAGGGAGGCAGGCAGTACAGTGGCAGCCATTGAAGGAACTCTGGAGCTCAGTCTCCAGAAGATGCTGCTGGAGACCGAATGGCCTTTATGGGACCTCTGAAGTGTAGGGACCCACAAACCATATGAAGCTTTCTGGACAGGAATGCATTTGTCTGTATACAACTACACTGAAGTAATTGAAATTCCACCTGCTTTTTGGCTTTGTGTGTTTTCCCAGGGAACCGAAATATGCTGTGTGAGAGGGCTTGTACACTTTTTTTTTTAAATAGAGGGAAATGTTCTGTAATACTCAATAGCCCTCAGTGGCAATATTATGTCTTATGTATCTGCCAGCTTAGTTTGTAGTGGGGTGATATGACAGCTTAGTTTCTTTTGGAGTGTGCAGACTAGAAATTCAACCTAAGTCTTTGGGATATCTTTCCCTGTGTTAGGCTTTCTCTGAAGTGAGAGATCTCCCAGGGCTTAAAGAAATGTCTGAACATTTTGAACAAGATGGGCAAAATAAGAAATATCATCTTGATGATTTTTCCAAACACGGTGGAGGACACCTGATTCCTTAGAAGTGTTGCTTGGCTTAACAATTTTGATGAGTGAGAGGTTTGATGTTTTCAAAAGAAAGAACTTGAAATGAGGGTAACTCGTCACAACCTTTTTGAAATCATATGTTTGACCACTCCTCCTGGTTCCCTTTGTTTGAAAATGTCAGGCTTAATTGGCTTTGATTTTAAGAACTCACGAAGGTATTATGTGACGTGAAGTATTTACAGACCTGTTTAAATATTCATTGGCACATTTTTCAGTCATAGCAGATGGTGCTGCTAGTAATTAGAAGGGATTTTTTAGCAGTTATAACATAAAAGTTTTGCACCTTAGGGAGAAAAGTTGCAGATAGGGAAAAAATGTAAATTGAAATATTTTAGGTTAATTAAAATTGGTTTTGAATTCCTTTCCACACATTTGAACTAAGTAAATGAAGAGGCCAATTATCTTTGGATAATAAAGTCTACTTTTGCATATTATGTATGCTCATAAAGTGGTTATATATGTTTTAGTGTTAGTGTGTCATTATCATATATGTTATCTTGCAAAATTAGGGCTGAACTTTGCTTTGAATTGTCCCCTCTGCAAGCACATTGGCATCCAGACTCCTGAACATGCAGACATAGGATGCTTTCAGGGCCTGGCCCATTAATCTGAAAAGAATAGGAGAATCTACAATATCTGGGCCTGATTCTGATGTCACTTGCTCTTGGTTTACACCAGTGCAACTCCACTGACTTCACTGGCATTGCACCTGGTTTACACTTGTTTCAGTGAGATGAGACTTAGGCCCTGTGTATATAAGGGTGCTTGATTACTGCTCAGCTGGTTATATATATCTGCATCCATTAGTCAGGGAAGGGTTTAATTAAATCAGTGCATCTCACTGATTTTACATCACCATGTAGATATGACATAGTGTAAACAAATTACGGTAAATTCCCTGTCCAATAAGTGCCTTTTGAAGAGCTGTCCTGAACGGTGTTTATTACCAATGGGTGCAAATGTAAAAGAAATCATTCTCCTATTCTTAATCTCCAGTTAGTAGCTGAATACAGAGCTTTCCATAACATTTCTGTCTGACCAAGATATGCCCAATTAATTTCACAAACACTGGTGTTAAGTGTAATTGCTGAATTTGTTGGGGATCTAAGGGTTGGCAGCTTATTGCTGATTCTCTATTTACTGACACTCTTTCCCTACATTTCTAGAATGGCCCATTCCTTTGTGATACATATATTTTCAAGTGAGGTTTAAAGTAAAACAGTAATGATTTTAGTAAGAGAGCATTACCTATAGTCATGGTTAAAGTACATGACTGGGTGTTGGGACATTTCTATTCTAATCCTGACTCTGTCACTGACTTATTATCAATGATTGCTTATATACCTGAAAATATATTCCCAGGACTCACTTTTTACAAGTTTGCCATTGACTTGATTATGATTTTTCCCCCCATCAGACTTTGTACATAGCCCCCAGTCGACTAAATGTACAGCTGATCAAACATTTTCTGAGCAAAAATATTTCCTGACCAGACTTGTATTATTAGTTTATTGATGGGATAGTGACTTGCAAAATGTACTCTAGCTGGGAGTAAGGAATGGTTCCTTTAAGTCACTAGCAAAACTTCCATTTTCGTCCGTGACAAGAGGAGTGGGGACCTAACCAGTGGTGGATTAATGATTTTGCTGCCTGTAGGCCCTGAAATAATTGCCGCCCCTGGCCCCATATGAACTTATTAAACATCAGTAATTTCAATATCAACACCAATATTTTCACTTTTTACTTCACTACTACTTTCAACTATCTTTTCTGTCTCACTGTCGGCACTAAGTGATACAACAAAGGAATCTATTTTGCGCATTTTTGCTATCATTTCATTTTCCCTTTCTTCCTTTTGTATAGCATTTTTTTTGAGAACCGCTTAATTTCTTCCTTCCAGTCCTATTATTAACGTTTAGGATTCTTGCAAGTATGTTTACTAAATGGCGTCGCGCCATCATTGGTGGTTTCAATATGCGCTATGATTGGTAGAATCACGGCGTCACTGATGCCGCCATTACAAAAATGCTGCTATTATAAATTTGCTGCCCTAGGCCTAGGCCTTGTCGGCCTAGATGATAATACGCCACTGGACCTAATAAACTGACCCAAAAAAGAGAGCAAAGAATTGGTGATAGCCATAAATTGATAGCTGGCTAATTAAATACATTCTCTAAATTATTTTAATTTTCTTGAGATAGTGTGTATGAAAGATGTTCTATAAAATATTCTTATCTCTGCTAACACCATACAATTCTAATTTTAGTTATTTATATTCTTTCCTTGTTCTGTACAAAAACTCTTGTCATCAATATAGGATTTATAACAGTTAGATGTGATGAAGATCAACTAGATCATCAAGTCCATTCCTTTACAAGTGCAGAATATCTTCCTATGGTATATATATCACCGATAGCAGATGTATCATTTCCTAAACTGATATTACGTTTCGTCTTAACCAAAACTCCTGGGAGTTTTTTCACCAAGCCTGGGTAAATTATAGCCCTCAAAATGCTATTTTAAGATTTTGTATGCTACAAACAGTCCCTCGTACCTTGCTGACAGAGATGTATTGCAAATGGTGTATTGTTTTTTATTGGTTACTCATATAGAGGTTAGTTCACAACTGAATACTCCGGAGCCCTTCCCAAACAGCAAGGGAATGACAGTAGGCCTCATGAATTGATGACATGTTATCATGACCTTTGCAAGTCTACTGTTTCTGTCATTTTGATCTCTCACAGAGGCAGAAGAGTATGCAATAAAAAGTACTTCCTTTCTTTTTTCCTCATTAGGAGTTCTGTTTGTACATCTCTGCCTGCCACTGAGTAACTTGCCATCTTTGCAGGAAACTCAAGTAATAAATTCCCCCTTTGTGCAGAAGGGATCGAGAGGGGAAAAGAATGAAACTATCTATCTTTTTAAGGTTGCAGACAAATTGGGACTGAGAGAAAATCCTTAAGACAGTAAAAAGTCCATTCATACAGGAAAACTATTCTTCAACAAAAGAAAGACTATGCCATAAGCAATATATTGTTCATCATAATCGCAGCTGGATTTCTGTGTTACTTATAAATTCATGTGTGCTTAATCATTTTTCAGAGTCGTCAGTTAGTAGCAGTTCTCCAGGAACAGGGCCCAGCTCACCAAGCAACGGCCCTACTGGAAGTATGACAGAAAATGAAACCTCACTTTTGCCATCTAATTCTCAAGCTGAGGTAAGAATAATACACTCAGTCCCTTTATTGACCAGGTAATTGCTTAGTGTTTTAGAGCTGGAAAGATTCCAAACAGCACTTTAAAGACCATAGTTGCTTTCTGATTTCCTTCCTTCACCTGGAAGTCACAGTAACTGTGTGTGAAAGAGAAACTGGCTTGTATTTCAGATGGCAGTGGAAACTGGTCTACAGCAGAGATATGATGGTGCTGAGATACATTGTGGAATGACTGTTTTGATATATCATAATGAATATTGGTATCTTAGAAATAATGAAATCCCGTGAAATAACACTAGCATTTCTAAATATTAACATAAACAACTGATCCAGGATACTGCAAAGTACTTTGCTTTGGAATTTTATTTGGAGCAAATGATACTCCAGCAAAATGCTTTATGCTCCCACACACATGTAAATGTAGGGCTAGCTTTTACCTGCCTTAGGGCTTGTCTACACGTGGAGTTAGTCCTGATTGACTATCTCTGATTAACTCCATGTGTGTACAGTCCAGAATAATTCCATGTGTAGACAAGCCCTCACTCATGCTGAGTAGTACCTTGCTCTGTAAGTAGTCTGTTACAGTTTATGCTGGCTCAGGTCCAACCCATTCCTGTTCTGAGTTCCAGCCTAGAACAGAGGAATTCTGGAAGTTGTAGTTCCCTGAGGGACAAGGGAACTCTAGGCTCGTACAAAATATGCTGGGAAAGGGGCCAGGGATATAAAAGATCTCCCCAGCTAGCTGTACCCTGCACAGCAAGCAAAAAGGAGGTTTTTCAGTGACCAGGTTTTGAAGACCAGTGGTGGTACACCCAGAAGAGGAGTAAAAAGGGCCCAGGGGGAGCCATGCTGTAGAATACAGGGAAAGAGGTTGTGGGGGCAAGACAAATATAGGAGGCGGCTTTGAGGGGAAAGTGAAGCAGTGGGCAATGTAGTGGGCAGTCACCTTCCCTCTTTGGATTTCTAGGCTCAAAGCATAAGCACCCCTGTGGCACTGAGGTGTCAGCTAGAGGGGCATGGTTATACTCCTCAAAGAGAGGAGGGTTACACAGACCCTAAAAAGAGGGCTAGGCCCAGAGTCACAGACTTTTATTGTGGACTTCTTGTTTTGCTTGCACACTAGGATAGGACCATTTTGGTTTAGCCAAAGGGCTAAACTCATTAAACAGTGAAAGGGAGGCTCTGAGGAAACTGAGGCAGCAGCCATACCTGTGGCGGAGTGGTGAGACACTGTTACATAGTCCCATTGATGTCCATGGGAATGCTTGTACAATAAGGCACTACTCACTGTCAGTAAAGTGGCACAGTGAAGCTATGATGTTTCCCAATGTAAACATAAACCAGAGGAGTGAAGCATAGCTCACCAGAACTGTGAATAAAGAAATACAGCCTTACAATATGCACACCTCAGGTGTATTGCATCTTGTTTAATGTGGGCAAACAAAGCACAGATACCTAACGTAAACTCCCCAAATAATATATAGTAATTGACAACATTTACTGTTTTTCTTATGTATTTGTTTGTTCTCCTACAAGGTGGCAAGGGGAGGGAGAGATAGCTCAGTGGTTTGAGTATTGGCCTGCTAAACCCAGGGTTGTGAGTTCAGTCCTTGACGGGACCATTTAGAGGTCTGGGGCAAAAATCTGTTTGGGGATTGGCCCTGCTTTGAGCAGGGGGTTGGACTCTATGACCTCCTGAGGTCCCTTCTAACCCTGATAGTCTATGATTCTATATGTTTCTCTGAGGTAGTAAAATAATAAACCTGGGTGTTTTGTGGCAGTGTACTCCAGTAACTGAATTAAAAACAAATGAGAGATTCTGTAATCTGTTGATAGCATAGCTGTGAAATAGCTTTATATCATAGTTTTAACTAGCTGGCCAGGTCTGAGTTTTGCTCTGTTAATTAAATAGAGACATACATTCAAATATATGTTCTTGCAGTATGTTTAGAAATTCCTTTCATGAGATAATGTGTTTAGTTTATTTTCAGATATGACACATACACCACAACACATCCAGTAAGACATATTTGGTCGTAGCATCCCTCCAACTGCTGACAAATGTATTAAAAAATGAAAGAGCAGATCGTACAAGCTAGACACAAGGGCTAATAGCTTTATTAATGGAGCGAGAGCTCCCATGGATTCCATAATGTATATTAAATCTGTACTCTTTCCTCCACTCATAAGGCATCCTGAACTTTCTCCTTCTCCCTGTCCCCTCCCATCATGTCCCAGTCTCTATTACAAACAAAGGGCAAGGAGATGAGGAGGAGACTTGCAGCTTAAGGTCCTGCAGGAATGGAGCTAGGGGGGCAATGTGCTTCCTGTGGATCTGAAGAGTGGAACCCCTATTTAGCAGACCTGAGCAGGTCTGTGAGATTTCCACTGCAAAAGGTTAACATCTCCAGTAAGACACTATGGGGAGGGGAAATGGAATGGGGGCACGAAAGGGTTGGTGCATATATCTGGGTGTTTGTGGTGGCCCTGGGCCTTTAGCTTCAAGGACCAGACAATATGTAAGAAATTGCAAAAGGGGCTCATTTTAAATTTCCTATGTAAAAATTAGTAAATACTTTACCAAAAATAAATAAATAATAATTATGGAAAATTCAATTGTCATCCAAAAACTCACTGTGCTATTTGGAAACAAAATTCCCAGTGAAATAGAAGGATTTTAATCCTGTTTCAAGTGTATATCTTAGCGTAACCTTAATTATGGAGTCACTACTGACACCTCCAGAATGTGGTATTGACAACCATGTGACAAATTGTATTTATCGTCATTGACTGCCTCACCTGCACTCTGCCCACTAATCCATTGCCCCAGGACTGCTTTCAACGTTCCAAAACTCTCAGGAATGTCAAGCACCTGGCATTATTTTAAAAATAAACTTTCTAAGGAAGTGGTTTCCTGTCCCTCAAAATGTGAATATTCTCCCTTCCCCCACCTCCAATTATGTTGGCCTAAGACCCAAATAGACAATAATCACTCCAGATGGGTGTAGAGTCCAATATCTTGTTACTTGTCAGAACAAGAAACAGGAACTCAATGCTATAGAATAGTGGAGCTTCCGAGTTTCCCCAGCGGCCATCCAGCATATACTTCTAGCCCTAGAAAGGCTTGAGGGATTGGACATTTGGGATTTATAAACATTATTTTGTCATTTTTTAAATTATTTTGAATTTTAGTCATTTTTCTCTCGCATTGAGTGTTGTGCAGTTAGGCAGAGAGTATTCAAGGCCCTTACTCAGCAAAGCACTTAAATCCAGGTTAACCTTAAGCATGTGAGTAGTCTAATTGATCTCTGATTGATTTGGGTGCTTAAAATAAAGCATGTGCTTAAGTGGTGTGCTGAATCAGGGCCCTAATGAACTGGCTTTAAAGGGATAAAAAAAATAGCTCCCAGCACACTACATATGTATGTACACACACGCACACACACCATAGACTTTTGAAGAACCTAACTTGTGGTAAGCCAAGTCCTGTCTTACTGCATTATTGAATAAGCTATTAGTTATCAGTTTATTATTAAATGAAGGATGGTCTTATGGCTAAAGCATAGGGCTGGTAGTCAGGAGTCCTATCCTCAAAGATATCATGTGTGACCTTGGGCAAGTCACTCAGTCTCTCTGTGCCTTGTTTTCCCTATCTGTATAATAATTCCCTAACACAACAAAGGTGTGAGGAGGCTTCATTACTTATTTTGTAAAGCTCTCTGAGGTTTTTAGATGGAAGGCACAATAGAGGTATTAATTATTTATTATTTTCCTCCCTCATACAATATTTGTAATGCACAAGCCAAAGGCAGTTTTTACCTATTAGTACCAATACACATAAAAGAACACCTCATTCAATGCTAAGATTTGTATTCCACCCTATCTTCTGCAGCTAATGCCCAGAATCATAACTACTCTGATGGCCTAGCTTGCTGTTAATTGTTTTATATTATCTACTGATTAAACAAAAGAGCATGAGGAAATGTGACTTACCAGAGTTTGGGCTAATGGAGCTATTTCTCCAGGTCAGTGGCAGGACATTCACCTAAAAAAAACTGGATTGGCTAGTTCAACCTCCAGCAGGGACTCTTCCCCATAATGAATTAATTGTGTGTGTGAACTATGATCCAGAGGGCAGGTGGGTGACCTCTGCACACTGATTAGTAGCCTCTCTGTGGCACAGAGAAAACAAAAAAGTTACATTGATGGCTAACATGTGGTTTTGCCTCATAGCCCTCTGTATGGGATTGTGAAGAAATTCAGATTATGTATTGCAAGGTATAAAAAAGTTCAGTTCAGACCACAGGCTGGTCAGTACAGTGGGATTAAAACAGTATATTTTCACCTTGGGAAGCATAATTTCAAATAGGGGTATAGTAGGGGTGCTAATGCTATATTAGATGGAAAATCATATGGAATTGGATATACAGCTACTTGAATACTTTGCCATTAATGCTAACACCACAAAATACAAAAGGGAATAATAATGCTTCTTTGGGCTTATTTACTGTGTTTGGTACTCTGAATATTCTAGCTCCTAGATACTTGTTCACATCATTAAACCACCACAGAGATTACAATCAGGTAGTCTCCTTAGCGGATGTGGATTTTGCAAAGCCAATTTGCGGCAGCTTCGTCAGTGAAGAGCAGAGCCCTCTGACCACAATCAAATCTGGTCAGTCTGGTATGATGGGCAGTCTCTGTTCAGGAGAGGTTTGGGAAGACTGCAGCTCTAGGACCATTAGGACTATATTCTGTGCATGAATAGAACACTACATTGCAAAATCATCTTCCCTTGCTATGCCAGGCAACAGTGGTATTAGTCTCTTACTATCATGAGCACTGAAATGAGCCTAAAAAGCTATTTTGAAAGCTGAGCTCTATGTTCTGGAGCCACTCACTCAGCTCTTTGGCAGAACAGTTGGAAGCTGAAACCACTGGCTTCCATTTCTGGCTCCAGTCAGAGACTTCTTTACCTCACTGGTTATTTGATGGTTAATATTGTGGTCCTGTGGGTGCAAACATTTTTCCATAGATCTCAACATCAGTACATTTTGATTTTATTTGATAGTTTATTAGTAACCAAACAGCTGAATATTTCTTCTGTAGTTGAACATTAGCTGCCAGCTCTCAAATGGTATTTATCTAATCAATTTTTTGCCAGACACACAAAGTACAGAGGTTTCTAATAATAGGTTGTGTTCTAAAATCATGCAAAATGTCACTTGTTTTGCCGTAACCGTGCATGACTCACTCTGCTGTTGTTTCCTAATAGTTATTGTGACATTTGCAGTAAGTGTTGTATTCGCATCTGAGTGGGCGTATGGCCGTGGTATTCATGGCGGCAAATGAACACTTCTTGCTGGGGAAAAACAGGTTGCGATGACAGAAGAATCATTTACCAGTAAAAATCTGAGTCAGTACTGTAAATTGTCACACTTTAGTGACTAGAGCAATATTAGTAATGAAATTTTGATTCTTTTAAAACATTTCTGCCTTAATCATTTAAATAGCAGTCTCTTAAGTGTCTTAACCCACAGTAGACAGTGTGGTAACCATTTATTTAAATTTTCTGAAAGCACAGAAGAGCACTGTGAGTAAGAAACCTTGCAGATAATCCCTTGCTATCAATTTCTCTAATAGTGATTTCAGTAACCAGTCTGTTAAAAGACTTTCTGTCATTATATGAGCCTTAAAAGTTAAACTTATAATTGCGCCTTATAAATAAAAGTTGTTTTTATTAGACCCAGGTTTTGTCTCTGGTGGGTTCAGGGTTCACTGCGGTAACTATTTGTCTGTTGGAGCAAACCATATACTTTCAAATGACATGTGCTGTGCATGGCTAAATCCTGCCTGCCTTTCTCATGTAAGGATTTCCTATGACTTCATTGGGACAGCTTGCCTCAGTAAGGCACAATTCAAATGCATGTGCTAACTCTAAGCACAGAGGAGGCCTGATCCAATGCCCAATGAAGTCCCATTCATCTCAATGGGCTTTGATTCAGGCCCATATAGAATCCACTTATATTTGGTGTACAGAACTTTTGGAGACTGGTATATTGAAGGTAATAGTAGAAACTAAACTGCCTGATTATATGGAGGACATAAATAAATGCACATGGTACAAATGTCTCTTAAACCCATCTTTCATAATATTCGTTTATGAACCTCAGCTTTGAGGAGCACACTTAGTAGTTCTTCAAAAATTTTAAGTCTCTAGTCAGCATGATGAAATTGAAATTCAATCCAAACATGAAAAGGGAATCTACTTAATTTTTAAAACTAACAAAAATAATAGAAGTAGTTCTTTCTTCGGAGTGCCACTTATTCTGACTGTTCAAAGCAATGGTATCTTCAGACACTGTGTCTGCAACTTGGAAGATTTAAAGCTAAAATAAAATATTCCCTTTTTGTTTGTGTGGGGGGGGGAGGAAGAGAAGAGAAGTTGATATTAGACAGTAAAGCCACACACTGCTACATCTAATTACTATACTTACATTTTAAGAATTAAGTGAACCTGACTGATAAGAATGTTTCTTTTAAAACATTAGCAAGCTGGGAATTCTGCCTCAACAAATGGATGCTGTGGGGGACAGGACTATGCCCCATTAGCTTAGGCTATGTCTACACTGGCAATTGAACGACAAAACTTTTGTCTTTCAGAGGTGTTAAATGCCTCCTCCCCCATCCTCCCCCCCCCCGAAAGACAAACGTTTTGCTGCGACACGTGCAAGTGTGAACAGTGCAAACGCCGCTCGTTGGGGGTGGGCGTTTTTTGTCGGCAGGAGAGCCAACAAACAGCGGCTACACTGCACGACTTTTAGCGGTACGGCTGTGGCAACATAGCCATGTCACTAAAAGCTGTGTAGTGTAGACAAAGCCTTAGTAAATTGTCACTAGTGTAACACTTTAAGTTGCCCAAAGACGCACATAGGCCCTGATTCCGCAGTAGCTTCCATGCAAGTGGCCCCCTGTGTCAGCATAAAGTTCGTTTCAGGATAGGGGTCTTAATATGGGCTTAATCTGAGGGTTATCGTAAAACAAATGCCAGTTGATTATTAAAAGAAAATGACTATGTTGTAGAGGCATATTTATGCTGTTAAATTTCAATGCAAATGTTATTAATAATCAATTGGTTTTTTAACACAGCTGTCTTATTACATATGCTTAAAGGAACAGATTAGGGGAGATTCAGTTTTAACAGTCGTGGCATTACCTTTTAGTTGCTGGACTTATTCCTTAAATTCTATCATTTCACTCTTGTTCCTCAATGCACACCTTGGAATTTAACAGTGGCATATCATAAAACCAAAAAGGAAACGTGTATATTTTTTAAATGCAGCACCGTATAGATGCTGCAACCAGCACAAGTCTGATGATGTCCTAAAAAGAGGATTACATGTTTACAGCATCTCTTTTGGTAAGACCTTTATAGCATTTCACACTAGACTTTTGTATTTTGGACATACTTCATTTTAATAATGTACATATTTGGATGTCATCAAGCAAGTGCAATTTTAATGGAAAATTAATGTAATATACATATGAAGCAGTTTCTTGACACTTGCATTCCATACAGTCCATATCTCTTCTCTCTTTCATATACTATCTTCTAGCATTCCCAAGATACCAAGAGAAAATTACACATACAGACTTCTACTGTTATTGTCTCAGTGATAGGTCTTATTTCCAAACAAACTATATGAGGAAGGTTATGTTTTGGAATAACATCCTGTGTTTTTGTGCAGCACCAGTTTTCAGTGACAGTCTGAAGTTGCATTGTATTAGCACAAGGTATTTTCCAAAGTTAATTGATATCCCAGGTTTGTCCAGGGAAAAATCTACCGCTCCCCACAACATGCTTGACAAGTTATTATATTTACTTTAGTCAAAGCCCGAGTGTGCAGTATCCCTCTTGGAGGTGGTCTATTATTGGAGCCCCATATGCTTTTTGTTTGGGAAGAAAGCAGTCACTGTGTCATACTGTTACACAGGGTATTCTTTTTCAGGGATGTTGTTCCCTTGGGGACCATATCATGCCAGAGTTCCTAAGCCTAATAAGACCTTTGTAGCTCTTATTGTGTAAAAGTTCTGGGAGGGAAGCAAGAGTTAAACAGAAAATGTAATTCAAGCAACTATACTAGACCACATGTTGAAAAACATGACCGTTAAAGCAGAATGGCAAAGGTTTCAAAAAGATTCCTCTTGCAGTAAGCATGTGATAATGTAACCTTTTTTTGCTTCTTCCCACCGAATTCTAAGTGAGTGCTTACGGGGGATCTTATCAGAATACCTGTTTCTCTGTGCAGGGTGGTTTTAAAAATCATATCAGAAATTATATGTCCTCTTCATAAATGATTATATCATATGGTTTCAAAACAAGTATGGGGACTATCCAGCAAGGTGTTGAAACTGGAGGGAGTTAAGGAGGCTAAGCACTTTACAGGGCAGCTCAGCACCCAACAGGAATGGTGGCCGTGTTTTTTAACATTATTTTTTTTTAAATGGCATTTGCTTCCTAAATCACTTTTTACTCAGACTTTCTCCGTCCATAATAAACATTGTAGCCTAATGGTAATTTAGTGGCAAGGGGATAAGATACACAGAATGAATAGTGTTGAATTATGTTGGGTGAAGTTTTGCAGCAATGCATATGAATTATACTCCTTTAGAACTTTTTCTTCCATTTTAATGAAAATCTCATATAGGTTATCTGCTCTAGTTCTAGCAAGGAGGATATCCCTCAGCATATCCAAATAATATCCAATACAGCTATATATGTGTCCTTACATACATTAAGAGATGAAGCATTAGTGTTCCATAAGACATATCGTGCAATCCTTCCTGAATATTTACTCAAGCAAAACTCCCATTGACCCTATAGCAATGAATGTGTGGTTGGTGGGAGAAGAGGTAATGGAGCAGGGAATCCTTGACATTTTGGTTCGGCATAGGAATTTAACTGATTAACCAAGGCAGCATGGTAGGCAGGTGAATATTTGTCTCCATTTCAGGAAAAGAATTTCAGAGCTATACTGGGGAAATATTAGTAGGCCCCAGTATTCAGGATACTCAGTATATCAGGAAAGGAAGTACTTTTCCCCAATATTTGGCATCTTAGGCACACTAACAAAGATAACTAACTGGCTTTTGTTGCCGAAGGGTAATAGAAATAAGTGTTACAGATCTGGAGGTGATTTTTTTTCTTGTTTCAGCACTTGGTTTCACAACAACGTATTCTGATTCATGAAGAATCGATGAACCTGTTGAGTTTGTATACTTCTCCTTCTTTGCCCAACATTACCTTGGGACTTCCAGCGGTACAATCCCAGTTCAGTGTAAGTGATCACTTTAAAAGGGTGTCCTTTTTGTATCATGGTTTTTTTCTTTGAGACCAATCTCCCTTATCCCTGCTTTCACCACCTCCTTCTCTTCAACTTTTCACTCTTCTGTCTATTTTCTCTCACAATACAAGCATACTCTGGTCTCTTTTCCCCTCAAAAAATCATCTCCATCTCTGTGTCTGTTTTGTCTTTTTGGAGTGTAAGCAATTCAGGCCAAGACCCATGATTTCATTTGTGTTATACAGGACCTGATACACTGTGGGCACTACTTGAAACAATAAATAATCACACTGAATAATAATGAATAAACAAATGTGAGCATAAAGCTTATACAGTGATGTACCAAACACAATTTCTGAATTATAGATATGAATGCTTGAAGCCACCGAAGTGGTGAGAGATACCTGGGTGGGTCATATAATTTGACCTTTTGAACTACTTTTGTACTGGTGACTACTATCGTCAATAACATTTCTTCCAGAAATACCCTTCCAAAGCCAATAGTCTTTAAGATGACATTCTAATACTGACTCAGGTTGAGTTGGAGCTAATATATTTGGAGAAGTCCCTTGCATTTAATTTTGTTTTGTATTTAAATGTTAAAATAAGTGCATGACTATATAGCACAGTAGTCTATTAATGAATTACATTTCATGCTTACTCATAAAGAGAACATCAGGTTGAGAAAAAGTCACAGAACTTTAGGGGTAAATTAAAGTTTTGCCATTGAGTTCAGTGGGGCCAAAATTTTACCCTAGGACTTCTTAGTTCAGTTTGACTGCAAATAAGGATTTACAATAGGTTTTATGATAACTCTGTACAATAATATGGAATATTATAAAGAAATCTCTGCAATTTAAGATTTAATTTATGACACAGTGGTATGACTTTTGAATTTAGTAGAATTTACATACATTCTAGATGTATAAATGACAATGTGTCACTTTATAGTATGCAAGTTTCATTTTAAATATGCACTTTATTATGTTTTTTCAGTAAGGTAGTACTTAATTTGAATGCTGAATCTAGTTCAAGTTTTATGTCATACCTGTTTTTTTTTCAGTACAATATAATGTCCTTATCTCTGATATATTGTTGTTACCTAGTTAATTTCTGAGGGAAAATATGGTACTATTTTCTAACATCAGACACCTGGAGAAGTTTGCAAAAGAAAATTTTGCAACTCTAAATAAATTCTCTAGGAATCTTGCATCAGACACTTGTAAGCAAATGAGTCTAGTTAAGATACTGATCATAAGTAAATGAGTAACATTACAAAATAAACTACTTATAAATAATGTTTCCTTTCTGCAAAAATGTCTTGTCTAATTGAGAACAAGTAGTAAGTAATGTCAAAGTAATTTATTACATGAAATTAAAAGCTGTTCTCTTTAAAACACACACACATCATATAAGCTTGTATTGAGATCAGTTAGCACTAAATGCTACTTTTGGAAATTGAACAAACAGGGTATTTGATTTTTGCAAGGTAATGTTTATGCAATTGTTAGAATAAGATAGTGTAATTTAAATTGAATATAGCCCACCGTGGTATTTTTTCAGGAGAAAATGGCAGTGGCGGAGTGTGAAGTAAAAAGTATGTACAGAAAACTTAATGAAAAAGGTTAGGGTTTGCCTGAGTAGAACATCTGGAATTCAGATAATCAGGGAATAGCCCTTTTTTACTATTACAAACTGAATGGCAACCATGTACAACCTGGGAAGACTCAATTAGATATTTATTATTGCTATTTATTACTTTTTTATCAACCCTTTTTTAAAATCTAATTTATATTTTTCAATGAAAATGTAGGCAGCCATTAGCTGGAACAGAGATCTCTGAAGTAGATTTGCAATGCTAATTGGTCAAGATTTTCTAAAACGGGTGCCTAAATTTAGGTCCCATAGTCTGTATTTAGGCAATTAAATCACGGGGCTTTAAAGTGCTAAATGCCCAGCAGCTCCCATTGACTCCTGTAGACCAGATTGTTACTTTACAATCCACCTTGAGTAAGGAGGCAGTGTATAATTGTGCTGCCCTAGGAGTAGGCCAGAGAAGGAATTGCTTCAGGGGGAAGTAACATTTACCAGCTCTATACCAGCTGTAGTTAATGTTCCATCTCACTTTGGCTCAGTATTGCTGATTGATCTATTGTGTGAGACAAGGATGTGTTGAAAGCCAAAGCTCACCTGCTTCCCCTGTTCCTCTCCTTCTACCTGTACAGAAAGTGTTGATTTGAGTGAGTTATGCAGGGTACTGGGATGGGCCACACTTCCCTACACACCATTGTAAGGAAAGGTCCCAATTTTGCCCTTCAAGAACAACCTCTTTATTTCAGGTTCCCTGTGCATTGATGCCACTGTGTTAAAATAACTGTCATGGTCTCCATTTTCAGTCAATAAAAAGCCCAGCTAGTTATGCGGAGACCTAATGGACCAAGTCTTTGAAAAGCAGCTAACATTTCTGTTGTGTCTTGACACAGGCTTCATCTTCACTCAAAGAAAAACAGAAGTGTGAGACCCAGACACTGAGGCAGGGAGTGGCTCTTCCTGGACTGTATGGGGGAAACATGCCTCCCTCTTCAGCTCAGCCTCATATTGCTCTAGAGGGAAAACCTAACAGTAGCCATCAGGCTCTCCTGCAACATTTGTTACTGAAGGAGCAAATGAGACAGCAAAAGCTTCTTGTGACTGGTAATTCTCAAAGGCTTCACTGGAGTGTCCTTTAGAGCTTTTTGTTTTTTTAACCTGGAGTTTTACAAGAGAGTGACTTCATTTTTAAATTAAATGCAATACGTGAATGCTACAGTGCTCAGCCATTGGGCGGGGGGGAGGAGGGGGAGGGAAGCAGTGTGGTGTTTGATTTTTCCCCCCTGCTTCTAGTGAGATCTGCTCCAATCTCTTGCTCCTGCCCTCCAAGGGTAAAATTATCACAGAAAACTTAGTAGCTTTCTCTTGGGGCTGTCAAACTTCCTGTTGTTGCTGGACATGTGCTAGGAGTATCATTTTATTGATACTACTGCAAAGTTCTTCAGTATGCCGGCTACACTGAAGCTCTCCCTGACTTTTATGTTTTCTTAGTTTTACTGATCCTCATATTTGATGAGTGAAATGTCATTTTTTTGCAGGAGGGGTTCCTCTCCATCCACAGTCTCCATTAGCATCAAAGGAGAGAGTCTCACCAGGCATCAGAGTTGCCCACAAGTTGCCTCGTCATAGACCCCTGAATCGAACCCAGTCAGCTCCACTGCCTCAGAGCACTTTGGCCCAGCTGGTCATTCAGCAGCAGCACCAGCAGTTCCTGGAGAAGCAGAAACAGTACCAGCAACAGATTCACATGAACAAAGTGAGCTCCCAAACTAAAGCCTTTCCAATACACACAGAGAATGAAAGACTAACAAGATAGTGTGGATAACTGGTACAATGCTGTACTTGAGCAGCACACAAGTCCCTGCTACATGTGCACATTATATATACATAGGCATGTCGGGTGTGGGTGTGAGTGTTACTGTTAGACTAGACATCCATTTTCTGTCGTTCCTAAAGATTGTCCAAAGTTGGTTCTCTGGGCATTGGCATCAGGAAAAATGTAATTAAATGAAACAGCAACCAGATTCTCTTGAAGTTTTAAATTACCATTTTAAATCAGTTTCCGGTTGTATTGATAAATGATTCCTCAAAAGGTTATTGGATTTATTTCTGACTTATTTCACTTCCCATTTCACTGTTGGGAGGCAATTCTGTGTTGCTACCTGTGATTCATATTTTAAGCTTACTTGATTAATGGTGAACAATACATTGGTAGTTCTTCAAAATCAGCCTCCTTTTCCATTTAGAGGCTTTACTGATCAGCCAAAGCAAGATTTTTATAACCTATCAAGACACTGCTTTCCATATAAAATTGACAAGTAACAAAATGTTCACTGCCTGCATGTCAGGATAAAAGATTAATGTGTCAGAGAGAACCAACTATTGCTACTAATAAATTTGGGGCCCAAATCTACTACTGTTTCTTATGTAAAGAATTACCTTATTTTGTAAGAAATCAATAGGACTACTTGGAGATGAATGAACAAAGGGTGTTAGAATCTAGCTATATTCATAGCAGAGACAGTATCGTTTTATAAAAGAGAGAGCCAACACTTCATCAAAAGATAAGTTGTAGCCATGAACAATGCCACACTCCAATGCTGAGATATGTGAGTAATTAAATGATCTAATCCTAGGAGAACCTTTTTAGTGCACACCCTTCCATCTTACTGATTGTACTATACTCATTTTCAAGTTGAAGTTAAATACATGTTTGCCAGCCTGCTTTGAATAATTTTGGCACATATGAATCAATGCATCTTTCCTTTTTCTGTCTTGTCAGAGAATTATTTGATGGGTATATATGAAAGCCAGTCATATGGGAGAAAATAAGATGAAAAGCAGGCATGTTGCCCTTGTACATCGGAGAAAGGATCAACCTATCTCACTGGTGAACTTCTCTCAGGGGGTGCTGATTCCTTGGAATCTGTTAGGAATTCCCAACAAAATTAGAAACAAACCCAGAGTTTAAGTATATAGTTTGTACAGTGGTTTGGTTATTAAATCTTGTCTTAATTAGGAAAAATGAAGACCAGAAAACTTCAAAGTTCAGAGCTGATCCTTGCATGTTAACCCCTCTCAGCTAGGGTGTTTTGATTACTCAACTAGGACTCCAGTTGGCTTTTCTTCGAGTATGCGTTCCATATGTTTAATCAAGATGGCATAATGTACATCTTGTAGCCTCCAGGTTTTGAAAATATTTCACCTGCCCTCAATTGTCCGAAGAAAAGAGAACTTTTTATTACCGGGTAAAGGACTGAGTCTTTGTATTGTTTAAGGGTATCCAAAGCAAACAATGATCATGTTTTTTTTCACAAAGTGAATCAAATCTATATTTGTATGAAAGATAAACCTGTGATTCTATTGTAAGACAGTCTGTAGCTTTTAGGGATAAATAATATGAGCTTTAGATGCATCTATCCTAATTATATCTAATGAAACTTGAATCAAACAACGTCAGAATCGAATGATACTGAAGTAGTAGTTACTAATCTTTTAATTTTACCCATGCATACATTTTTACCGAATAGGAACTGGACTGTAAAGGCTGTATTTAGTCTATGGTTCCATTGCAAAGTTGTTTTTCTTGGTTAAAATGCAATTTTAAGAAAAGAAACAAAAATTTGGGGGACTAATCACATCTGGAGACACATGCACTTAATTAGTTAATTACGCATTGGCATTAGAGAATAAATGCTTCTGAAATATTGCTCTTATTTATTGTGGGTAAAGGTTTGGCCTTAACTCTGCCATGTTCAGCCAGTCAGCACCATCTAACCACTGTTTTACGTCTATGGTCGAAATTAGCAAGGACTATAGTATTCAGTGGCCCAATGGCACTTGGAAATTCTTTGTCACACTCATTTTTACTGGCCTTCTGCTCACGAGATTGTGGCCATGATTTCTGGGTCAGCATTCTTGTAACAGTACATCTTAGAGAGATTACTGAAAAATGCTGCTGTTCTAGTTATGTAGTTGTCCTCTGCAAACCTACACAAAGCAAGAGGTGATCTTCATGTATCTAAAGGGAGAACGTGTATAAATAAATGAAATGTAAAGAACAGCCATCATGAGGCAATAGAAGAGAGTGATGACTGAACAACTCAGAAGGCAGGTGATCATCTTGAGTACCGTGGTAACTTAAAATGTTATATGAATGAGAGGGAAACATACAATTGTGGTGTTAAATTATTGCTGGAGATTGAACAGCCCTTCACTTACAATAAGGTTTGGATGTTTACCTGAACTATGAAATTATTCACCACAGAGTGTTGAATAGTGTGTTCACTCTTATAATTTTGCTAAAAAGAAATAATTCAGAACTGTCTTTTCATCTCCAGGTGGTCAGTTTGTTTTGGATTAAAACATTTGTAAAGGCATTAATCAAATGTATAGGATAGGGTTGATAAGCTAAAAGTTTGCTCTACTTGAAGTTAAAGTTATCTGTTCATGATAGTCTACTAATGACTTTAGTTTGTGGGGCTATTTAAAGCAAAATAAAAATGGCTGCAAAGCTGAATTATTTGGTTCTTAAACAATACAGTGCAGCTTCTTTCCATGTCCCAAGTGTATATGTGCATCTAATGTTTTTCCACTGATCCTATTACCCATTGCATTTCTGTAAGAAGGCAGTAAAGTGAAATGTGCAAAAATCTATCATTCTATTTCCTAAGTTTTTGTTTATGAAAAGGTGCTTTATTTAATAAATCAGATATTCTGAAGCATTTTTTTTAGCAGTTGTAACTGGGAAAGCCAGAAAAGCAATTTTTAAGATGGCAAGACTCTTGAACTAAAACAACACTCAGTTGTCATGAGCTCAGGACAAGATACTATCCCTTTCCCCTGCATCTTCTTACTCTGCCCTTCTGGAAATGACTGGTATTTCATGACATATTTATTTTTAAAACTTTAAATCAACATTTTTTAATAACGCAAATGGAAATGCTATATTTGACGTTTCAGTTTGGAATACTTTTTTTATGGCATGATATAAACTCCTGAAAGTCATGGAATCTCTTTTTATGGCAATTGGGGGGGGGGGGGAAATCGAGCTGTAGCAGTGACAAGGGAAAAACAGCGGCTACACAGCTAAACTCATGATTTGTAAAGCATTAGTGTTTGCAAAACTACAGGCATAAAATATGGTTCCTTTTCTTTGTAAGGGGAATATACTTCCAGCCACAAGCCAAGGCTGTGATTAGAGTGATAAAAAACAAAACCTAACAGGCCAGAGGTAAAGATTTCCCTGGATCATTTCCATTCTAAAAAGAAACAAATCATTGAGCCAAGAGGTGTGCTTCTATCCTTAGTAACAAAGAGAAGATTTCCCTGTGGACTACTTCTGGTCAATTGTCAGATGGCAGGTTTTTGATGTGGGAAATAGTATACCTCCTCACTGGAGTCTGACATTTATACCTATGGGATCTAGTACACTGACCTTCTCAAAACATTCTAGCTGAAATGCAAATTTTGACATCCCATCCAGAAGTAGGTGGAAAGCCTTGCCCTTGCTTTTGAAAAATCAAATGTGTGGAAACCTGAACTGGGCTTTTCTTTTGGAAGATAGGCTTTGCTGTTGTCAGATTTAATACACTTCTGTCCAAATGACAGCTTGTTTCCTTGTGGAGTCCTTTGATCAACATTTTAGAACTTCATTTTACCCAATAAAAGGAATAGCATGTCTAGGAACCCAGTTAAACTTATTGTAGCAGGTACCAGAAAACTGACACTGCAACAAAAATCGTACTGTTTGGCTCCTTATGTTATTTAGGTATCTAAAGAACCTTGACCTTACTACTTAAAAGATGTGATTTCTGCATAATTAATATAAACACAAGGCCATTGGCAGATGTTTGAATGTAGGTAAACCTCAGAAATTAAAGCAGTGAGGGGATTAAGGGAACATGCTCTGTTTCTTTAGAAGTGGTTTACATCAGTGCAGACTGTGGGTGAAATCCTGGCCCTAATGAAGTTGATGGCAAAACTCCCAAAGATTTTGATGTGACAAGGACTTTACCCCATCAGTATAGGAGCACATCCCCATATTGTTGTTACATAACATCTTTATATTGTACTAAGTGTTCAATATTACATTGTAATGATGAAACTTTGTATTGGAGAGGGAAATTAAACAGTCAAGTTATGGGACAGTTTGCAATATACATTATCATTCCCAATGCTGCTTTCATAACTAAAAGATAAAAGAAGGAGGGCTTGACCTTCAGTTTTCACTCCAGGCTGTTAATCTGTTCATAAAGTCTTTTACTTGGATGAGAAAACAATGGTTAGGCATGACTCTGAGGAAAGAAAAATACATGGGGAAATGAAATGCGAGTACTTTAGATGATGATAATAACTGAGATAAAGCATATAAGGAGTGGGAAAATAATTTGGAGGTTTCTAGTTCTTGACATGAGTTTGTTGACAAAAGAAGCTGAGGTTTTTCCAATAGGAACTTTTAATGCGGTCAACTAATTCTTGGCAACTGCTAAAACTGTGTCTGGGCCAGATCTTCTGCTGTTGTAAATTGACATACTTCCATTGAGTTCACTCCAGCTCAGGATCTGGCTCTCCATCATATCCTTATCACCAGGTCCAGCAAGGGGTGGAGGAGGGAACCCCACAAACACACTTCCTGTTTTAAAAAGTCTAATCCCGCTTTTTCGGACAAGGCTATAGCAACAACCAATGAATAATGCGTTGCCATAGACAGATTATTTATTGAGAACTAGCACCAATGCTTACTTTAGAATACAA